ATGAATGAACCCATTCGCAAAACCACCAGCATTCCATAGCCCGGTAGAATACTAGCCATGAGCTGGTACCAGTCCATGAACTGGACATGGGGAGTCCCTACTGTAAAGGGTACTCTTGTTCTCTTCTCCTAAGCAGCCAGAATATACAAAGAAGTGCCCAAAAAGTTTCCCCTCTAATGGATAAAATGTGATGCAGTACAGTACAGGGAGTCCGTTCCTGTGTGGGAATGTTGGAACTGTCCTACTGACTGTCACTTCCACATGGTCAATGTGTAAAATGGTAACCGTGGTAACTGTGAATGGTACACACACCCAAAAGAATTCATTTCTTAACTCCTTTATGTCATAAAATAGTTTCAGACAATATAATTTAGTAGTTACAATGAAATAAGATAAATGCAAATAAAAATTCAGACATCTGGGCAGCTTAACTGAATCAAGCAATGGACACTGACTCCTTCCAGAAGATGCTATGAAACTATATCTGTGCAACATTTCACACATGTAATTACTACCATGGTAACGAACCGAAGAGGGTGTCTGGGTGATCGTTACCGTAACAAATGGTGCTATCTGCCCTCACTGGGAGCAGGTCTAAAGAAATAGCGACAAAATTGATTAGAGCTAGTCCAGTCACGATTATTACATAATTGCCTGATAGCAATTATTAGAGATGACCGCGATTATTTATTGCATTATTGTTAAAATCGTTTCCATTAATCTGTATAAAAATAGATGAATGACACACGTATTTCTATTACTACTTCCACATCACTTTTATTTTTTACCGTGTAACGTTTGACATCTCGTTGCGCTTCTGAAGCGATCCTTACCTGCCCTATTTGTACCTCGCACGTCTGCGCATGCTCATGTGCAGCATTAGCCTTTAAGGCAAATTTTACGACAGTGCCCGATTTGTACCACTTCGTTCCACAATATTTTGACTCAACCTGATCTGGTTTATATTTTTTTCACTATGTCGCATTCATTTTACGGGCTGCTTCTGAACGTTCTCCACCAGCCCAGAATGGGATAATTAGCCAGATATTCCAATTTTTGATTCTTTGTGTTGTCTGTCCGTTCAATAAAAGTTCTGCATAGCACCTGCACTTGTGTCTGAGTGCGTGTTTATGGGTTTCGTTAAGGTGGGATGACTGTATATGTAACTGACGACTGGCACGATTATGCTGCAGCAAAGTCATTATATTACGCCAACAGGACAAAGAACCAGAGAAATGTATGTTATTTTGTCCATTTTTTCTTATCCCACTGATTTGGAGTTATATAATGGGTGCACATAGCTGGTACGAAAGTACGCATTCGCCAGTGATACGTACGCGCGGCAATTTCTTGAAGCAGCGCAAATGCGTACGTATGGTATGTGCGCTTTTATGACAAAGAATTACCATTGTTTTCAACCTTTAGGTAGTTAATTTTTTACTTCTTTCACGGTATAAATGCTAAAATGCACACTGATTTATTGTCATAACAGCACGAATGCCTACAATAAATATGTATTTGCATATATGACGACTGCGTAGGCCTACTTGCTTACCAGTTATGTGCACCCTGGATATAAATATGGCTGAACACAAAATACAGTCAAACCTCCCTTATCCTGGCAGAATGGGACCAAGGGGTACCCGTAAATTAGAAATACATTAACAGTACAGTACAACGTACATGTGTACAAATACAAACTACCTGATATTTATGAGGTGCAAGGCTTATAATAGGATGTTATTTCAGTCTGAGCTAGCGAATCATCCCGGTTTATTCTTGCAGTGGTCATCCAGTTTTTAACCAGCATCAAGTGAGCTGGATGATTTTTTCTTTACTCTTCCAAATATCGTCTACCGTAGACTTAGCAACTCCAAAATGGTCTGCAACAACTGTGTGCTTTTCCTTTTCGTATCTCTGTAATGATATCGAGCTTCTTTTGGAAGGAGATGACACTACGCTTAGTCTTTGAAGCCATATATTTTGCAGTTTTACGCGACGCCGTAAATTCAGCTCCGCCCACAGCCTCGTCCTCTAGCTCGCTCTCCATTCGACGTTCGCTCCGCCTCCACGTGCAGACGCCGCCCACAGCCTCGTCCTCAATCCTCAAGCTCGCTCTCCATTCGACGTTCGCTCCGCGGCCACGCACAGACTCCGCCCACAACTCGCTGTATGCGGCATTCGTCACTTCCGCCTTCCAAAATGTAAAGTCGACCGCAAGACGTCTCGGGAGCTCTGCTCACTTGATTATTGTTGTTGGTTTGCTTTTATTTGTTGGATCTTCCTGTGTTTGATTTGTTTGGTTTATTGGATTTCTAATTTTCGCTTTGCCCTTGTCGGTACTTTCGCTTACTTCCTATTTGGTTCAAACTCTCGCCCGATTTTTGGGTAACGTCTTCACGCGCCCCTCGGACTTTGACGCTTTGATGTATATGTCAGGTGCATAGGGAGTGACTGCCATTTTTGTTTTTTTGTGATTAATTGTCATTGTTGACACACCACAGTGCACTACAACGAAATGTGTTTTCTGCATTTAACCCATATGTGACTTCGTGACATAGCAGGGGGCAGCTAATTCAGCACCCGGGGAGCAGTGCTCAGTGCCCCAATGCTAGACTGGGGCTCGTAACAACAGCTGTTGGTTGTGTAAAATTAATTTGCTCGTGCCTAGAGCTGCCCGGTAGAGGGAGGTGCCCGTAGGCCTATATCAGAGGTCCGGACAAAGGAGTTTGATTGTACGCCAAACGTCATACTTCAGTTTGCAGTGAACCAAAGCTATGAGTAAACCAAAATACCATGTCGTTGGATAGCAGCAATTTCAACTGATGTAAATATAAACTAACATGTCAGATATGAGATAGCCTATTAATAGTTTTGAACCAAAAACTGGAAATAGACGACCGGACTGAACACTTAAAACAACAAGCAAAGATAACGGATTGTTTTTTTTTAAGTCAGCGGAATCATAAAAGTCAAGGTTTTGTGTCCTGTTTCACAAAGGATTTCTTGCTTAGCCAAATAACTTGTCAGACTTATGATAGACCAGTTTAGATAGATTTTATTTTCGTTCACTTATATTTACCCCAGACTACCCTAATTTCAATGTTTGCTGTAAATGTAGACAATATGTCCCAGATAGCATACATACTGTATGTTGAAATGACATTGATTCCATATCAAAGAAAAAGGTTGAAACAACGTTAATCTTCAATCTTTCATTGAATCATGGTTTTACCACCATCAATTTTTCAATAATTAATTCAGTTTCAATCAATAACCAAAAATCAATTCAGTTTCAAAGTTAATAATTTAACACTGACCATAATTCAACGCATTTATAATTCAACGGTGAAACAATAACATGATATGCTACCTGGGACATTCCTCCGTAAAATGGCACGAGGAAAGGATCGGGCGGTGTAGACGTGCGAGGTAAAATCAGGTAGGTGGTACGGATCGGGTAATGACAAAACTAACTTTTTATCTCGAGGGGGTTAACTTCTTATTTGTTATTTATGTCACATCTGCCCAGTATTTTTTTTTTTTTTACAAAGCTTAAAAGTAAAAATCAGTTTTTATTTTTGTGTTCCAGTATTCAATATTCAATTCATTATAAGGTATATGTATTACTAAAAATGTGTTACTAAACTATGATTAGGGTAACCCATAATGATTAAAATGAATAAAAAAGACAAATCATTAATCACAATTATTTGTATGACAATTAATCGTCAACAAAAAATACATGATCGTGACAGCCCTAATTAGAGTGTGACAAACCCTGTGCTCTCCGTTTAGGCCCAGGTTCGACACTCCCAGCCAAACGAAGAACGGAATTTCTCCCCGTGATTTAATGAGATTTGACTTTTTGTGCAGCCAGACTTGTAATTGTGGCTGCAGACCGGGGATTTAATTTGATGGAACAAACATTGCATTGTGTTTTTAAATTCCCTGCGTTCATGCATGAAGCTCATATCTCATTACTTTCTTTTTCTGAAAAACTTTCACTTTACCCAGAAACAGATTTCTTAATGTTTGCACACTTAAAAGCTCTTTTTAGTTAGCTGTTATCTTGTTTTGGACAAGTAGCAGGCCAGCATTTCATAATTTCAAGTATTTATTACAAGGGTGCTTTGTATTTGTAATTATAAACTGTAAAAGTCGTAGAAGAGACCCCGTACCTACTAGTTATGATTATTGTTACTATTATATTGTTACTATTAATATTATATGTTAATAGCCTATACCTCCAACATACAATTGCAAGGGTTGTGTGTATCTAACAAACAAAATCATTCACACACACGGAAATGATTGGGAAAGGTCCAGTCACTAAAGTGTAAATCACTTAAGAGTTCATGCTTGGCAACAAAACCCAAAGTCATTTTATGTGTTATTGTTATAAGTTATCGTTTTTAATTTATAGTCTTTCTACTTTTAGCCGTTCTTTGTGACAGTTATTAAATGAAAGAATAATGTAGGGCCTACTGCCAGGACTGTTTTAACGCAGAATTAATTTATACATCATTAAGCATATTCCGATTTATTAGGCCATAGGCTATATGTAATTTTAAACGATTAATAACGCATTCAATAGCCGGAATATGTGAAATAACTGTCTTCTAAAAATGAAACGTTAATTTAAGAACCAAATGAAGAAAATCGTGCACATGTGCTCAGTGCTACATTCAAAAACGGCACCCTTTCTCTCTTAAATCACCTCAAACCCCTCATGTTACAAAACTGCCAATTAACTGTTATTTTCCCCACATCTGCGCGGCTGTTTTAACGCGTGGCGAAGAGGATCGGGGATGCAAGTCAAAGAATGTGCATCCGTCCTTAAATTAAAAGATCTTAATTAACGTGGTCATAAAACGTCTCTAATAAACGTTAATATTGAGCCCACAAGGCACGATCCACTCCGTCCCTCGGGATAATGCGCAGTGTACCGCTCTGCTTTTGACAGCGGGGACGGGCGTTTCAAGGGTATCGGTACTTACCCAGCACGGTAACGCTCTTCACTTCCCCCCTGTCCAGCATGTGCGAATCCAGCACCCGAAACCATCCGTTGGGGTAGATAGGTGGCAGCTCCCCGGTCTTGCGTCTCCGGCGCACCTCGTTGGCAGCCTGAGCACGGGAGCGCCCGTCCTCACTTATGTAGCCCACCTCGTCCGGTGTGCGGAGCAGCTCCAGCGGAGCGAAGAGGAGCCGGTACAGCCAGCCCAGTGCAAGAAGCGACACCCCGACGAGGATGCAGGCTGCGGCCCTGGCCGGGGCACCAGCCAGCCCGGTTTTCCTCCACAGCTCAGGATACCCGCTCATGAAGATCAGGTCTGAAGGATCGCGGACATCCAGCAGCAGTCCGGCCGTCAGGCTGATCGATATCACCGCAAGTACCTTAATCAGCAGCGACAGATTGCAACTCTCCATGCTGGTGTTTGTTTATCGAGTAAAATCTTCGCTCTGCCACCAAAGCTCGGCTGAGAGAAAGTGTGCCACCTTCTGCCGCAGTGAACTAATGAAGTGCCGCTCTGTACACCTGATAAGCGGAGGGATCGTGTCTCTGCCTATGGACTTACCCGTAGTCCGCCTTCTACCGACGGTTCGCCGTAAGAACTGGTGTGTTTTCGTATTTATTACTAAGTTCATTCACCCGCAGAGCATGAAAGCAGTTTGCCCTAAGATTAAAATCAGTATCATATTCGTACGGCTTTCAGCCTGCAAATATCACCATTGACAGGTATATACCCGAGGTCAAATGTAGAATGCAGTATATAATACAGCAATTTCTTGCCGTTGTATTCCTGATGACATCACCATTGCTATCGCTGTCATATACAACGTGACGCAGAATGTAAGTTTATAGAATTATATAATGGAGATTATAGTGATTATATTGATTGAAGATTATAGTGTTTGATTGTTGGCCGATTTAATTTTCAATTAAGCTACAAAGCACGCCCTTCTCGAATAAGTACATACATAAATAAACAAATAAATAAATGGACGGATAGATAGATAGATAGATAGATAGATGGATGGATGGATGCGCTAACAACTTTTCCCACGCATAGTAAAACGATGCCCCATAACCACGGATGCAACGGATTTATACACATAGGTTACAGCGGTAACCCCAACAGTAGTGGAGTGCGTGTTGAATTTAGGAGACGGAGAGCAAAGTGGCGTTTCACTGAACACCTGTGGATCACTACTCTTGGCTTCATATATGTGACAGGCTGTAACTTATAAATGAGGATTCGCATATATTTGAATATAACTCGTAAATAACAGCAGGTGGCTTGGTGACTCAGTGGGTAACCTCACACCAACATCGCTGGGGTTATGAATGTCAGAATGTCACCTCCATTCTGTACGTGTGGAGTTTGCACGTTCTCCCGCAGAAATTCCTCTATGTTGACTAAGTGACGTGTTTAAATTACATGTAGCATGTGAATGAATTTATGTATATATTAGTGTATTTACATACACAGACACACGCGCGCACACACAGATACAAACCCCACATCCATAAAAGTTGGCATATTTTCTATAATGCAACAAAAACAAAAATCTGTAATGTACTGTAGATGTCGCAAGAGCCATCCTTGCTTGCAAAGACTGAGCCTTTGATGGATGCTAGTTTTATACCTAATCATCATACCCAATCTGCTACCAATTAGCCTGCTTAATGTGGAGTCTTCCAGACCGGTGTTACTGGAATATTCTGTGCACTTTTCAATCTCATTTTAACTCTGTCCCAACTTTTGTTGAATGTGCTGCAGCCATCAAATTTTAACTTTGCGTATATTTACAAAATACAATTAAGCTGGTCAGGTCAACTGTTTAAAAATATTTTCTTTGCACTTTTGTGAGTTAAATGAAGGTTCACGTGAATTAAAGAATCACAGATTTTTATTTTATAGCATTTTAGAAGTTTTCTGGAAATTGGGTTTGTATGCTTTGTTATGTATTGGTATCTCATCCAGGATGTAGCCCAGTCTCGTGCTGGCTCACAGTCCTACACGACCCTGACCAGGACACGTGGTTGAAAGATGAAAAGATGCATAAATGGATGAGTTTTTTTGGGCTTAAGGACTCGAAAAGGCAAACTGTTGTGTAACAAGGCTGATTTGTCCACATCCACATCTCACATAGTTTGCTCTAATATGAACGGGATTTATTTGTTACCACATTAACCGGCACAGTGGTGCTGGTATTGTTTAGCGTTAAGAGTCACTTCTGTATGATGACTTTTAAAATGTATTTAGGCTATTGCAAAGTTGTAGATGTGAAAAAAAAACCCAAAAGTGATACAATTTTCAATATGAAACTTCATGGAACGATGTGACACCTGGGTACGACATACTCACCATCCTCTCTATCTGCACATTCATGACGTGAAAATTATTTTCGATGGTATAGCCACATTCAGATGAGTAGCCATACGAACATACACAATGCGAAAAATGTGAATGAATGGAATTTGAATATGAGACCATTCTAGTTAAGAATTAATATAAGAAGAAATCAAAAACACACCTGCACATTTTAACAAGAGCAGAGAATTCCGTGTAAGAAAATTCTTAGATTTTCAAGTAGTACAATTTATCATCTTATCAACTTGGTATCTACTTTAATTGGTTACTACTTTAATCCATATAATGTTGGTGAGGCTGATGCAATTCCCCCATCTTATTAAAATTTTGAAAGAAATCTGCACGCATCAATTTATTCTGAACCGCATCAGTAGACACGGCATAATAAAACAAGATGCGAGGGTTTTAAATTAACCTTCTGAATACCGTATTGTACCTTCGTTAGTAAAAATTCCTCTATCTTTGTGTGTCGCCTACTGGTTATTGTCGGTACTGCAACAACTTAACCTTAATGTCACGTGATTGCAGTCGCTCTGGCTAACTGCGTTCCTGAGTTGAACTATGGAAAGTAGTGTTCAGGGCTGGTTGAAGTCCTGAACACTATATTATTATATTATATTATATTATATTATATTATATTATATTATATTATATTATATTATATTTATTATATTATATTATATTATATTATATTATATTATATTATATTATATTATTATAAACAATAGGGGGCCAGCACGGTGGTGTAGTGGTTAGCACTGTCGTCTCACACCTCTAAGATGTGGATTAGTAGTTACTACTAATAATGACAAGAATACATCTTAAGTAACAGGTCCCTTGAAGGAAAAGCCTCTGGGACATTCAACATAACCAAAGATATAGGAGTTAGAATAAAACCATTAAAACAAAGTCGTTCAGAACAGCATACAGTATTCTTATGAGTAGTAAGAGTATGAATACTAGGAGCAAAGACATTTCATTTCTATATACATTGAATATAGGCCTACAGGCTATAAAATCATTTTATGGTATTGCAACACTATTATAGTCCTATATACGTATAACGACAAAAAAAACGAATTTGACAGCCCACTTGAATTACAATGCACTTTTTTTTGGTCACATCGTGCCAACGTAACATCGTCGTTGACACCTTTCCTCTCCCCATCATCATACAGCTGTTATGTGCCAGCACTGCAGGGGGCGCGAGCGAGCCAGTTTTACTCTGTCTCAGAGGGGTTGCGCCGCGCGCAGGTGACATCAGATGGCAAGTCCGCTGTCCCAGAAGTGGCGCTCCAGGCTGGGGGGGGAGTTCGTGAAATAATTGGGGGTGGTCGCTCGATACACACCCTCTTGGGACATTGTATCGTATGGAAGGCGAGACTAAACAATTTTTTCCTGAGGGGGGCTAGCCGCTGGCCTAGACGGCCGCCCATGATGTTCTAGGGGTTGATTGGACCTATTAGTCTTTTCACTAAAGTCAGCAGCCGTGTCACGAATTTGTTTAGCCTGCATAGAAATAAAATAAAAAGTATTATTAAAATGCCCATATTTTAGTATGAGGTAAATTCTAAGTATTGGTTCTTTTTAATGTAATATTCGGGACTTCACTTTAAAACAAAAACCAAGTTATAGTGGCATTAAATTGTTCAAAGTCTGTAAACGGCAAAACGAGGAATTGCGCGGAGTAAATGAAAACTACAAGTCCCGAAACACAGGCATGGCCAGCGGGCACCTTGGAGGGCGGGCTGGCCCGACGTGATTTTCCGGGATGGCAGCCAGAGGAGGTGAAATTCTCGGGAAGGGAGCGTGAGAGTTCACCTGCTGCTTCATCTGCGGAAGGCTGCAAAGTTACCAAAACATAGCGATCCTACGACTGACATTCAAATGTAAGTAGCCTAACAGGCTTAAACATGTTGGTTGTAAACGCACCTGTAATGCAGTCCCGTGCATATCTCGCATTAGCGAATTAACTTGATTTAATGCTGTCTGTTCAAATTAATGCAGAGACTTAGTTAAAGTTCTGAATACTGTGATAACGAAATGTAGTCGTTGAGACGGTGTTTGTAGTACATATAAGCTCAGGTCCGATGCACAGCAGTTGATTGAATTTTCCAGCTTCGCCTGTTGCTGAATTTGTGGTTCAAACTTCGCCGAAAGACAATTTGGACCGAGAAGTCATAATCAGTGTAACCAATCTGCTTTTCCGTGTAACACTGCACTCCTTACTGACTATTACTGACTAAGACGAGGGGTTTGGACCGTAGTGGAGGGTTTACTCCGAAACGAAGCACGCAAGTGATACGGAACGACGTAAAATTTGACTAACAAAATAAGATCAGTTGATTTCAAGGAAGCGAAGATGAACCAGGCTAAAAATATCTGTTTAAAGTCCCTCCAGTTCCCCTTTGTCCGTCAACAGAGCACAGTGTTACAGTACTGTGGATGAACTAGACCTCGACTGTATACATGAGCATCAGCATTACAATATAAATTGGCTCCGATGAAGTATGCAGGTATCCGCCGATGTTTGACTTGAACTGGACCAAAGGTGCGGTGGTGTGGCACGTGCATGCCAGACTTTGTCCTGTAGGAGGTGGTAGTGAAAGGTTGGTGCTTCAGCTACCAAAAACAAACTTTTCCTAGCATCAGGGGCATTGTAAAGGGGGATTTGGGCGATTCTAAGGGGCCCTCAAACTTGGGACATAGTTGGATTCTTAATATTGATTCTCATTTAAATGCATGTCTTTTTTGGACACTTCTTTTAAAGACCATATTCATTCTTGACACTAAGTATTTGATCCTGTGTGTTTCTTGTACAGCTGCTCACTTTTAGGTTGTCAGTTTACCCATTCCAAAGGTATTGGAAGATCTCAGTCCTGGTTTACTTTTCCATTGTACTCCTGCGAACCTCCGGAGTGCAGAGTGAAAGGCAAACCGAGTGAATCTAAGTAATGGTGTAGATAGCTTAGAGACCATGATTCTGGCAACAGTCAGAATCAGCCATGCAGAACACCTGCCTGCCTGTCTGTCTGCCTACTTATCTGCCTGTCTGTCTTCCCATCTGCCTGTCTGTCTTCTCATCTGCCTGTCTGTCTGTCTCCCTGCTTATCTGCCTGTCTGTCTGCCTGTCTATCCTCTGTTTTACCCATTTGTCTTTCTGTCTGTCTGACTAGTCCATTTACAATTGTATTCAACTTCTGATTGTTTTCAACTACCTAAAAAGCAAAACCAGTCCTGTCCGGTGAATACCAGTGCTGACAGTGTACACAGCTGTAGAAAATCTTGTTCGTGTCCCAGAAATTGCTGTTTGGAGCTACTGAGTCTGCTGCTCCCTCCAGCGTCTCACCAGCAGGCAGGGTGGGGGTGGGGGTGGGGGTGGGGGTGGCTCTCCTTCATGCTTATCCTTCTCACACCCCATTGGCTACCTGCCACCTGTTTTCTTCTGTCACTGGTGTGTACAGCATGAAACAGGTATGGTGGGGTGTTGTTAGGTAGGAATGGGGAAAGGATGGTAGCCATGGAGGAAAGCTGAAAGTGAGACCGGTGCACTCCTTCCCGGGCTTTTCCCCCGGGGGGCGCATTTCTGTGGGAGATGTAGGGAGAGAGGAGCTCGAGGGGGACTTCAAAGAATGCTTTTGTCCTGGAGATGGGGGTGGTGTGGACTATTAGGCCCGGTCTGCAGAGAGCACCAAATGCACGCATGTACACACACACACACACACACACACACACACACACACACACACACACACACACACAGACAGAGACATATGTAATTATATCTTTGTGGGGACTCTCCATTAATTTCAATGAGGAAAACTCTAATCCCAACATGACGACCTTAACCCCTGCCCAGCCCTAACCTTAATCACAAGTAATCAAACAAAATATGAGACTTTAGTTTTTTGATTGCAGAAAAATGGTTCCAACAATGTAAAATAAACCTAATACACACACACACGCATATATATAAAGTGTGTGTATAACCCCCCCCCCACACACACGCACACTTTCAAAAATCGGAAGCTCACATCACACGTGTGACATGGGAGAAGCATATTGCCAGTTTCCCTGAAATGGGAAGTAAGCGGCACTTTGCTGAAGTTCAGCAGTTATTTACTATAACTGACTGGAGGGTAAATCCCAGGGATGAATGTATGAAAGAGAACTCAGGCTTTTCTTCTGCCTGCACAATACAAAACGAAGGCTGATATTGGGCTCATTTTATTGGTTCATTTAGTTTGAATGAAACACAACGCTGCTTCAGCGCGGGTCATCTGTGTACATATAGACAACATGCAAATGCATAATAAGCCCTATTCTTTCTGGATACTTTGGAATCAACATGCAGATATTTTTCCTGGTAAGTGTGACACTCAGTGGAACCATTGCTGATTCTGCAGTTCTTTTTTTCTAGATGTCCCAAACTGCTATGGGCTCGCTAAGCTTTCCCTTTTTGTTTCGTCTTGTCATTTCGGACCAAGACTGGGGAAGTACGAGTGAATTTCTGTTTCAGCACTTCAACCTCACTTGTGCAGGAAGTTTGGGGAGGACTGCACGTTGGGTAGATGCGTGATGCCCAAGCAATAAGAGACCCTGTGGGATTTTATCACCCAAAATCCTGAGCAGGTTATAGTTTTTGGGGATGACCTCCCAGTCCAGAGGTGTCTCTGCACTGCTGTGTCTGAGGGCTGGCGATTGGCTATTTCTGTAGCCTCACGTAAGGTAAATGATTATGGAAATTAGATGGCTTTTAGAACAGGAAGGAATAAAATGTAAAATGGTCCTATTCCTGAATAAGCTGCACGCTGGCTGACATTCTCACCGTCTGTAGGTTATGGTCTGCACAGTTCTGAGCAGCAATTGGACCATTCGCTTTGGGTCACACGCAATCTCGCTGCTGTTTGCTGTATGTACCCACAATGCACTCTGCTGCACTCAGGAACAGTGCCGCCCCTTGTGAGGGGTCAGCATAGTGTGTCCTGACCTAGACTGCGCTGCCTTTCCACGGCATTCTGGGATTACTACTTCAGATAGGATTTTTTTAAATTTTTTTTATGTAAGCTTTGTTTAACCACCTTCCGTTAAGAGCCTGTTTACACTTAAGTGGTGTGTGAGTTCAGGGTGAGAACTAATTGTGGTGGTGAGAGGGCGAGTGGATTGGTGGCTGGGCGAGTGGATTGGTGGCTGGCCGAGTGAGAGGGCGAGTGGATTGGTGTGTTTGGGGGCGTGGTGGCGACGGGTCACTTCCTGGTGTCTGGTTGGCATGAGCTGAGAAATGGAAGCGAGTTGCCCAGATGCTGGGTGCTGGGAGTACTTTCACAATGACCCTCGGACAGGGAACAGTGCAGAGCCCCCTCTTCCTGCACCTGACCTCAACCACCGCCACCAGCAACACGCCCCGTTTCGGTCTCACAGCTAAAAATACTGGCGACTGCATTTTCAGGGTGAGTCACGGCCGTGGTTCTTTCTGAGGATGGTTCTGAATCCACGTCAGTCTCACCGTGAGTGATGCCGCCTGGACCTAAGCCAGCTGGCTCAGCCGTAGATTGATGCTGTAGTCTGCGATTGGAGCGTCGCTCCTTTGAAAAGCAAGACGCAGGCTCCTGTCTTGCCACACTGCCATAAGGGAGTAACGCTGGACAGGATGTATGAGAACCCAGATGATTCATGCTGGATGAACTGAAGATCTGAGCACTGATCACTGAGAAGAAGCCTTTGATCTAGTTCTGAGGTAGGCTTTGGCAGTTTCTAATTTTTCATACCAACATACCGTCCAGACATTATACCGTGATATACAACATTCTGGCAGTATTTTCAAAAGTAACACTATTTACTTAAACCTCGCCTAACAGGCGGAGCGGGGAGAGGGATGGGGGGGGAACAAATTTTGCCGTAATATATTGTCATACTGTCAGACCGTTTCTAAGGTATTACAGGTCTGTGTTGAAGGTTACGTCTAGCTGTTCATTGAGGTCTTAGCAGCCTGTTGAGCTGTACAGTGGTTGAGGACCTGCTTTCTTCTGTTGGTGGAGATGATGATACTGAGATAGGTGATATTCTCATGCTGGTGGGGGTGATGGTGCTGGGTGGGGGCAGCACGGCGGTCAAACGGAGGCAGTGCTGTGTGTCGCTTATGGGTGGAGAATCTTCATCCCTCATCAGCGTGAAGCCTTGAGGGTCCTCGACCTCCAAGAGGGAAGTGAAAGCGGGACCTTGACCACGTCCCCCTCGCCGCATTTAGAAAGCGAGAGCGGCTGGGCCGGCCAGGCATCGCTTGCTTCCACCTCGAGGACCTTGGCGTGCGAGAAAACGGATGTCCGCTGTTGGACACTCCCGTTATGACTCACTCTGGGCCCTTGGGCCTGTTTCCCGTCTGCGTTGCGAGGCTCCCTGTAGGAGGCCGTCCCATCTAAAGGGGGTCCAATGATTTCCAAGCAGACAGCATTTTCAATTTGCCGGGGAAATGCCCGGAAACCCAAGGAACTCCACTTAAAGGGGAAATCCACTGGAAATTTTAGTGCGATTCGCCTTCAGCTTGATGGAATGATTGGGTTCTTCCTCCCCAGCTTGAGCGCCACCCTCTTGCCCCCCCCCAGAGAGCCTGGTGAAACATGGCGACACTGGATGTACACACCCTGGCCCACCACTTGAAGCAGGAGCGGCTGTACGTGGCGTCGGAGAAGCAGCTGATCCAGCGGCTGAATGCCGACGTGCTGAAGGGCGCAGAGATGCTGTACTGCACCACTTGGGTCGCCGGGGAACAGAGGAACAACCTGGACCGGGTCATCCGCACCAGGTGACCAGAACGCAACCCCCGGGGGCGGGATACGTGCGTGTGGTCTGGAGATGGTGTAAAGAGAGCAGATTGGGAAACTGCGTTCGAGGGGTTGGCATGCAGCTCATCGAGTTAGGATGACGTGCCTGTGATCAGATAGTTGGTGGTTTGAGTCTCACAGTCGGCAGTTGCGGAAGGGGCTCTGCCTACCTGTCTAACTGTACATCACTTTAGGTAAAGTCATCTGATAAATAACTAAATTCAATACAGATTTTTGGCTGAAAGGTTCCCTGTTCTTGTTCTTGGTTCTGGATACAATAAGCTGAAGTGCCTCAATAAAATATTCACTAAGAGCTTTATGATACATTAAAATAAATAACGTAAAGACTGGGCCACAGCTATAAACTGAGTTAATCGCCGCGGCAACGAAAGGTTTGAGTTAAGTAGGAAGTGCGCTTAAGGGAGAGTATAGGGTCTAGGGGGCCTCCGTTTCACACACACCTGGCTCCCCAGCTTATTCCCCCCCCCCTTCCTTGCAGCACGGAGGCCTCCCCCACCGAGTGCTGCCAGCGCGCGCGATTATTGGAGGACACGCGCTTCGTGGATGGCTACACCGCCCTTGGCCACCAGGTGGTGGCCTGCGGGGAGCTCCTGGCTGGCCTGCGCTCGGACTCTGGGCTGGTGGCGTCCTGCCTGGAGGCCGGGCAGCGGCTGAGCCCCGAGCGCGCTCTCTCTGCCGCTCACACAGTCTTCGCCTCCCTCTACGGCTGCTGCGTCACACAGGAGGATGAGGGCTATCTGCTCAAGGTGAGGGGGTGTGGCTCAGTGCCATGATTGGGTACTGTGGCCAGGATGTACCACAGCTGCACTGAAGAAGTTACTTGGCTTGAAAAGCTTGACTGAGCATCCAGACGTGTAAAGCATCACCTGTACAAACGGAAGCTGTTCAGGGTGATTGTACTTCCTGTCAGGCCTGACTTGAGTAAGAGGTAAATCTGTGTTTGAAATATCTCCTCACCCACTATATAGGGCGTCGGCCATTTTGTAATGCTGTTTGAATTCTCAACTGTCGATTTCATCCACTATATAGTGCACTACAAAATCGGCACAAGGCTTGGTTGACTTAGACCGTCATGCATTGCGGCCCATCCCGCGTGTCAGAACCATATTTGTGAAATTTTGCTCAGTCTGAACTGTAACCGTCAGCCGCTGTTAAGTAGCTCACTGCAGGTGAGCTATAACGAGTGGCTTTAGCATATGTCAGTTACAATGTGTACTTATCCAAAAAAATCAGTGTTGGTGCCCTTGTTCTGGCTTTGGTCTTTTGGCTTTTGTTCTGATTTTTTTTATTTTTTCTATTTTTTGGGGGGGGGGAGGGGTAACGAATCATGTATTGTCCGAAAGAAAAGGAAGGTGTTAAAAGGAACACAAATGTCTGCATTCCTGCCTGCTTGCAAGCATATCTGTCTGTCTCTGACTGTCTGTCTGCCTCCTTGTCTTCTGTCTGTGTATGTGTGTGTGTCTCTGCCTTCCCACCTGTCTGCCTGTGTGTTCGTGTCTGCATGCCTGCCTGTTTTCAAATTCAAATTCAAAAAACTTTATTTATCCCCAAGGGGCAGTTAAAGGCACACAGGGCACTTGATCAAAGGACACAATGATGTAAAGTGTTTGTCTTTTGCCTGCCTGCCTGCCTGTCGCCTTGCCCGCCTTCCTTGTCTGTTTGTCTGCCTGTCTCTCTCTCTGTGCTAAATGTGTCTGAGTGATACTGAGGGTCTGATTTCAGGTTGCCCTCTCCCCCGCCCGCAGGTGCTGTGCCGACTGGCCGAGCTGGAGCTGCCAGCCAGTGAGCCCCTCCCCCGCCTTCCCGGCCACGGTGGTCTCTTCTCCAGCACGTTCACCCTGCTCTTCCAGCTGCTCTCCCGCGCCCTTCCTGCTGGCCAGCTCTTCCTGACGGCAGCCCTGCACGGGCCTATCATGCAGCTGCTGGTGGAGGACGAGGAGCCCCTGGAGACAGACCCAGCCAGGGTGGGGGAGCGGCCGGCACGGCGGGCCCAAGCCCAGCGGCCCGGCAACCCCGCGGAGCGAGCCCAGGCGGCCGCCAAGGCGAACGCGGCCAAGCTGGCGGCGCTGGCAGAGCGCTTCATGGGCGGCCTGCGGTCCAGCACCTACTGCTTCCCGCCAGGCCTGTGCTGGGCCCTGGCTCAGGTGCGGCGCCTCCTGCTGGCGAGAATGGGGCCTGCGGAGGCACGGGCCGTCTGTGCAAACCTACTGCTCACCTGCTTTGTGTGCCCCGCTGTCATCAACCCTGAGCAGTACGGCATCGTGTCCGACGCCCCCATCAATGAGGCGGCGAGGTTCAACCTCACGCAGGTGTGGGACCCCGGGGATCCACACTCACACACTCACACACTCACACACAATCATACGCACTCACATGCACACTCTTTAGGGTTTATTTCTAGTGTGATTTGGTGTTAGGTGACATTTAATTGAGATTTATGAAAGGTACTGCATAATTTCTCCACATTTATACAGATGGAAATTTAACTGGGCAATTTAAGTTGAAGATGTACTTTCTTCAGATGGTACAACACAAGAACCCCCTGAAGATCACTGACCACTAAGTTGCAGTCTGGCAGCACAGTGGTTAGGCTCTGTGTCTTATGATCTGAATGGGTTTCAGCTGTTGTACCCTTGAAGGCCTTCACAACCAATGAATAATAGGCATTTGGAATGTAAGGACACAGCTGCGTCTGAACTCAGACCTAATCTGAAGTGGCTCTCATGACGATGCGGTTGCCTGTTCCCTGATCCCAATCTCCTGCACATCACCTACCTGATGCTGATCCAGTTGGGCCAGTTACTGCAGCAGCTGGCTGCAGAGGAACCCAGCAAAGCGGAGACCGGGAGGAAGAGTGTCCAGCCAAAGCTCGATAAAGTGAGAGAGAAAATAATAAGACTACGTCTAACTGGGGCAATCGGCTGCCATGTCGTGGGGTTTTTTTTTTTTTTTTTTAAATTATAAAGGTTTACTAATTGTCAGTCTCTAAATGCCTCTCTAGGTTTTAGGGGTCATTTGGGTTTTTACGTGATTTGAGTTATCGGTAATACAGCATGCCGTAGTGTCGACAGGATACAAGCCATGTTTGTTTTGCTCTGTGAACTGATTGGTCTGGGTGTATATTCCAGAGCTGCATTGCTGACTTCCTGGATGCTGTGATTGGGGAAATGACAGAGCAGGCCCCGCCCACAGCCTCCAGGGACCCTCTAGAGGGCCTGACAAAGATGGCAGTATATATAACACAGAACCAGCTGCACGCACTGGTGAGCATGTGGGCGTGACCTTGGTGTGTAATCCCAGCTGAGCCTTTGACTGACGTTAAACGTGCTTCATCTGCATGTGCCATGTCTCTTCCCCCCCTCCCCCCCACCCCCACCAGGTTGAACTGTTGCATGACTTGATACTGGGGGGGCACCTGCAGGTGGAGGAGCAGCAGAAACTTCAAGCTCTACTGGTGAACGTGCCCCTGCCCGAATCCCCCACCCCCCGGGGGAGTAGGGACAGCATGGAGCTTCTCCCCCCTGCTGCAGGCACAGCCAATAAGAACACCCTGCCCTTAGGTACAGGGGAGTGCAGATGTTGGGTGTGTTGGGGTCACCCCCTCCCTCATTGGTCCCAGTGCTCTCCGCTGTCTGCCACAGTCTCATCCGTTCATGTCATCAGAGGGGGTGATGTCAAGGTAGCCCCAAACGGGACTCAAACCCACTCCATTTCACCCCCCCAGGTTCTACCCTTAGCCGCAGCACGATGGCCCTGGATGTTGACCTGGAGTCTGGTTCTCAGGAATCGTCGCAGGAGGCGGGACCAGAGGAAGTGCTGGTGATCTCGCTGGGGAACACCCCCCGCACCCTTCCTGGAATGATGTCTGAGAATGATGTGAGGAGCATGTTGAGGATCCTTGATTTTATTGTAAATACCAGCAGTAGGGCTGTTTCTTTAGCGCCTCCCCCTGGTTTATTGCTGTAGGTGCTGGCACTGGAGGGCGGGGACGGTGCGCTGACAGCGCAGGATCCGGGCGGCGGCCCTCATCGCGGCCCAGCTGCATCGCGCAGGTTCTCCTGCTGCCACGACAATGCAGAGGAGGCTGCGTCTGAGGGTGCGGCCTTCGCTTTCTGCACCGACACACTCACCCCCCCCCCCGCCCATTAGCTATGTGGTCCCACGCATAAATAAAAATAAAATAAAAGCAGTAATAGATGCAGGATCGAGGTGGAAGTCGCTGTAGTGTTTAGATTAGATTAGATTAGATTAGACTTTATTAAACCCACAATGGGGAAATTCTTTGAGAATTTTGAGGGGAAGTACAGCTGCGTGTTTGTGTGGCGAAGCATTGCCGGGTTAGGATGCGCTTAGCGTGTAGCATGTTTAGCGTGTAGCATGTTTAGCGTGTGTAACTGGGACAGCGTTGGATCTGGCCTGACAGCGATGTTCATGCAGCCCGGTCCAACTCGGACTCCTCTGTGGACTTGGACGTGGAATCGGAGCCGGGAGCAGCCAGCTTGTCGGAGAGCTGTGAGGTGGAGGTTCTCCTGCTGATGAAGCGTGAGCAAGGTACCAGACCCCCCCCCTCCCCACGCAGTATGGTCATGGTACAGAACCACACACACACACACACAATATGACCGCAGCACCGAACCTCATACGATCCCATGCTTAAGGAGTCGACAGACTTCCAGTCACACACCTGAGCGGGTGGCTTGTTGTGAATGACCCCCCTCCCCCGCCAGCCCGGAACTGCCTTGATGTCTGCGATACATGGAGCACGGATGCACTGGCCAGCGACTTCGACCCTGGCTTGGATGAGGACCGGCTCCTGGAGGTGACAGGTGAGTCTCACTGAGTGCCCCCCCACCAGCACCGTTAGCTGGGGGCCGGACACATCCCCTAATCCCCCATGAAGGCACCACGTCACAATCCTATATTTAATTACAAATAACTGGGGAGCACATAGGATGGAAAGACCAAGTTTCAAACTGTTGGTTGTTGTGTGAGGCCTTCTCACTTTTTAGGCGACACTGCCACCGTGTGGTAAAATTGGAAATTGCACTATCCCTCATTGCGTAGGGCTGTGCAGGGACCTGCCTCATGGCAAGGTCAGGCATGTCCTTCACAAGTACGGCCGAGAACCTCAAAACTATCAGGTGCCCAGAAGGTCACCGTTTCTGTGGTTTTTAACATTGTGTAATTGGAGCATATTCTAGATATAAATTTATTCGGTGCATCTGATATTTTCAGTCATTGTTCTGATCGTTTCTGGTGTCTTAAAATCCATACTTTCATGGTTACGCGTCACCACCCCTCTCTCATGATAAACTATAATCTTCACTTGGATACTGGACTCTTCTTGTCTTTGATTCGTCCTTCATCCAGACACACCATCTATCATTGGTCAGGACATGGCAGGTCGGGACACCTTATTGGTCATTAAGCCATCTCCACGAGACGCTTGTTAAATGCCCATTAAGGCCTTGTTATCACACAGGCGTTGGGGCAGAGATGAGGCCTCTCATCTAATGACCCTGCTGAAATGGCAGAGTGGGAAATCCCGATGGCCACACTGACCTGTGCTCCTCGGCGCCGAGAAGTTTCCCCCTTCGGGCTGAAAGCCGTGGGCACATGGTTCTTTTTCTGCTTGTGCATGATGCTTGGTGTTGGCTGGGTCTGGGGGCTGACCAAGACCTGGGTGGTATCTAATTTTTCATATCGTCATTTTAACCATACATGTACCGTATACGGTATTTTGACAGTATTTTGAAAAATTGACACTATTCCAGTTTTTGCAATTTTGCCGAACCGGGGGCCAAATTTATTGTGGGGGATACCCCTCTCTCTCACACACGCAACAAATTTTAACAACAAGCTCAATTTCCCCCCCCCCCCCCCCCCCCCAAGATTTCAAAATTCAGTGATGCACCCAAAATTCTGCGCTAAACCGCGTTACTCTGATAGCACCCAAGCCTGTACTGGCCAGTCTTTACGATGCCATGTGGCGTTTTTGTGGAGTGCTTGACCTTAAGGTCTATAAACTCCACCCCGGAGCTTGAGGATTTGCTTGGATCTTAGAACATGTTTCCAAGGTCTCCAAGCCACAAGCTTCCTTGTGCTGATTTTCACTCTGTGAACTCACTCTCTTCTCTCTATGCTGGGGGTAACTTTCTGTCTGGGTCCTGACTTCTGCCGGGTCTCTGCTCTCTCCAGGGGCCTCAGCAGAGCCCCCCCAAGCCAGCCTGATCTTGCTCTCCAGCTTCGGGTCCTGTTCGGGCTCTATGCTCGCGGAGTCCTTTGCCGGCTCGACCGTGTCAGAGGCCACAAGTGACGCCTGGAGTGTGGAGGTCCTGCCTGGTGACCAAGGTGCTTTGGGGGGGGGGGTGGGGGTGTTCCCCATCAGCTTGGGCGGGGTGCTGACCTGTGCTATCTTAACTGCGGCTCACATAACAAGCAGAGCGTCGCGCTAACAACACAAAGGTTGTGGGTTCAGATTTCGTGGAGCACACACTAACTGTAACCCTCGTTTTGGATAATGATGTCAGATTAATATATGTGATGTAATATAGCGTGTGTGTGTGTGTGTGTGTGTGTGTGTGTGTGTGTGTGTGGTGAGGGTATTTTCACAGCTTTTCCCGCTGTGTCGTTAATGTGCCTTGACTGCTAACAACAAAAAAGCCTGGATTTGTTTGCATGCTCGTGTTTTAACACTGAGGTGAAGTACAACATGATTCTGTAGGGACCAGGATACCAGTTTGTGCCTGAGATTAATTTCGGTATGTGAGGTGAGGGATGGACCATGCAAGAGAGCAGGCAGGTAGTGAACGCATCACATGCGTGTCGCATAACTCCGCCCTGCTCCCACCCAAACAGAGGCCCTGGATGTGAAACCGCAGGAGCGCATGCAGGAGGTTGACAGTGACGTGTTGGACGATGTCATGCAGGTTACTTCCCACCCCATCAGTCCTGGGAAAGGCATGGGCTCAGGTACAAGGGCGCCCCCTACCTGGCACAATACCAGCCTCGCGGAATTATTTTAGCATATCATCACTGTCTGATGAAAAACACGTATGTCCACTTTTTGACGATTGTTACTTTTTGCTATACAGGGAATATGTCCATTCTGTCTACTGATAGCATTAGACAAACGTATTGATCACTTCAAATCGCTAATTTTAACCATTGAACATTGATAGCTAGATATCTAGCTAGCTGACATTGTTAATTGTGAAAATGAAGCGAGATAAGCTTATATCTCATTGACACTGACATAAGTGCCTCTCTGACAATAATCCACATAAGTCCATTTAAAACATTAAACTGTTCACTGACAGCTGTGTATGGGTGTGTTTCTGTATGTGATGCTAAGGGCTAAGCTGTTTTAGGATTATTTTGTAAAGTAATTTTTTGATGGTCCTGGAATGATAGGTTTTTAGTTTTTTCACTGCTGATGTAACCCCCCCCCCCCCATTGACTGATAGGCACACTTCTTTGCTAAATGCTATGCTAATAAATCTGCTGACTGCCTCCCTAACTGCTGCTGCAGTGACTCCATTAGCATGCTATGCTAACCGCTGCGCTAATCGCCACCCTTGTAGACGTGAGCGCTGCGCCGGCAGAGGATGCGCAATCAGAAAGTGGCTCAGATGGGAAGGACTCGGTGGCCGGCCCGGACGGGGCAGGAGCAGGCTGTGGTAGGGCAAGGGCGTCTCCGGTCAAATGCCCCCATCAAGTGGATACTCATCAAACTGATCAGATAATCAACAGGCTCCTACTTCACTGCCATTTTCCTTTTTATGGCTGAGCTTTATACCGAAACGATGATTTAATGCTGATATAATTTATAGAGAATGTTCTGCTTAACTAATATAACCATTCTTTAATATATTTCCACATCACTTCATATTTTGTTTGGTTTATCAGAAGCCTCATTTTAATATTCCTCTATAGAAAGGCACACTCGTGACATGGCAGTGCTTCTCCATGTTTTTGCTCCCTCCCAGTTCCCACCAAGGTGGTACCAGGTATTCGGTGTTCTTGATTGGCTGGGAGCTGGGAAGGAGCAAAAACGTGGACTGTCTGGGGGGTCCCAGAGGACCGGGTCGAGAAGCACTGTGTGGGTTTGACTGGAGTCTGTCCTCTGTTGCCATGCAGGATCCCCCCAGCATTCCCCCTCTGACCGGGAAGCCGTGCTGTTCACGGTCGATCACCCAGGCTCTGAAGAAGGTAACTGTTGGACCGTGACCTGAAGTGTCATGCTCACGCAGAGCGACACTCGGGTTCCCCACGAAAGCAGGCCCGTGTCAGACGGTTAAAGGCCTCTAGGTTTTCGCACCTGTGCTGTGCTATCAGGCGTTAATGTGACCCCGTCCTGTCCTGAGCGTGGTGTAACCCCTCGCCCCGCAGGCCCCGCCCCCTGCACCGTGGTGAGGCCGAAAGGGCAGAATGCACGAGCTGCCCACCCGCCCTCCTTTCCCGCTGCCTTTCCCCTCCCGGGTCTGAGGTCGGCGGAGCTCGAACACGTCAAGCAGCGGCTCTCGCTGCCCGAGCAGCTGGGGAGGGTCTGCATCGACGACCCGAGTGGTCATGGCCGGCGACCAGTCAGCGATCCCGGCGTCCAGCGCCGCGTGGTGCTGGAGGACCGCCAGCACCCCCACACCAAAGGAGAGGTCAGTGTGGGTGGCTGGAAGGGCCCAGCTAGTTAGAAACAGCAGGAAGAGCAGTGTCCCCCGGTACTTACCCCCGTGTCATCGTGCACTTCAGGCCGAGGAGAAGAAGGACAGTGACGACGAGCAGCCGGACCGGAACCGGCCCTGGTGGAAGAAGCGGCTAGCCTCCGCACTCCCTAAGGGTGAGAGATGCCTGTCTGTGTCCCTCTGTGTCACGGGACTATGGTGACATTGCCGTAATACTATTGTCAGTCTATTGTTTATTGTCAGAACCTTAAATGCAGTTTGTATCAGAAGCAGAATGAGGTAATAACAACCTGAACGTCTCTCCTTAGGTCCGAAGTCTGCGTTCCGCAAGAAGGACAGGTCTGATAAACAGGCCACGGGGTCATACCGGGTCCAGCCAGGTTTGTTTTTCCACTCTGGTCCTTGATCAGGTCTAAGTGGGCCGCTGAGCCGCGGTTCTGTTATTGAAATTGTGGAGCCGTTGATACTGAATATGCTGGTATGGCAGACCCTTCAGGCCCCCGGACCCTCAGTTAGGCTCCGGCCTCTGCTGGCTCCGCCACTGGGAGGGGTCGACCTTCCATGCCCCCACCTAGCAGTACAGGCCACTCGTGTCTGTCTATATGGGTAAAAGTGTGAGGTAAATGATGATGATGATGATGATGGTACTCATCGTTATGCGGTCTGGCTCCGTCCAGGAGAGTCGCCACCCGGCCTGGCTGAGGACATCCTGGACAAATACAGAAACATCAAGCGGAACGGCAGTGCAGCACCTGTACTCGCGGGGGTAGAAGCTGAAGCTGGTGGGTGCTTACTGTGTGTGTGTGTGTGTGTGTGTGTGTGTGTGT